GGTTTGTCCGATAAAAGTATGTTGGAGAGAACAATCGAAAGCCTTGCCAGCGCATGTTTAGTGTTGTCACTTGCTAGCTCCAATTATTTCAAGTTTACTTTCGAGTGCATTCGCCTTTTATCGAGAGCTAATGCGAGGGGACGATGGGCGAAGGAAGGGTGGTTACTTTTGATCTTTAAACAAATCTTTATGGCACTCCCCGTATTTTTAAGCGTATTTACATTTTGTGGTACTTTTTCTCACTTTATTTTTATGCCCGTTCAAAATTGTATTTGTCCTAGATTGACCGGGCGCAAATAATTTGCCCAAGAATAAAGCACATCGAAAGTGACGAATGCCCATGGAGCTGGGCGCCTGGTTGTCACTGGTCATCATTCATTGCAAGTGCAAAATTGAACTCCATCCCACGTCACGCACTGGTAAGTTCTATACACTGTACTTTTTACCGCAATTCCTATTACGTGACAGTACTTCTTGCGAGTTTCTCTTTTAGGCCTCGGTACTTTAAAATACTTTAAAGCACTTTGTCTGCTGCTGGTTGCTGTTGGCGTTTGCTACCACTCGTGCTACTTCTCGAATTCCTCCGTCTTTTATAGAGAGGAAACGCAGTACCATAAAAGAGGATTTCACTGCTGCACTTCCTAATTGTCACTTTTCGTACCCCGAAATCTCCAATAATCGGTGGAAAACATTGAAAATCAGCAGGTATTACTGACACAGTATGGCCACATGGGCCTTTTTTGCTTTAGTGGGCTTGCTACCTCCTTATCATTCATCACATTTACCAGAACTTCTCCGAAGTTCGGCTTTTTTTTCTGAACATTTCACAAATACACACACAGACATGCACAGACAGACAGACACACACGCACGCGCGCACGCATGCATTTATATGTACAAACATGCGTGCGTAAATACATACGTACACGTTACTTGTTAATATAAGTAAAGGGGCGAAGTTCAGCAGCTCTTAGAAATGCGAATGTGGCTTACCGACAGATTTTGCAGTTTCTTTTAAGGCCGTAACAAGATCAATGAGTAATTTGCTGATTAACTGTTGTTTCATTGTTGTGTTTCTTCTCACCATTTATGTGACACTGGTAACTTCATTCTTCTCTGTTTTGGGCCTCTCACATCCACTAGCTCGTTGAGCAGGCGTTCGTTGGTGCAAGGCTTCAAAATCAGGGCAGATTATTGGAAATGTGCTTATTTATCCACTACATTACTTCTGGTATGATAAATTTCAGGTTAATTTCAACAATCACTCAGTTGCGCTGCTTTTAGGGCCATCACATTATCAGTATAGTATCCAATTTGCCGTATGTATTAAGCCACTGTACTGGTCAGTTTCTGACTTAAAAAACTATTGAACTATATATATGTGATACTCACGGAACTCGCCATTTTTCAAGTTTGGTACTGACGAGATCCAGTTGTGGTGCTGAACAGGAATGTGTGCGACTTAATGAACCGGACATACTTTTTCATTTGATAAATTTTCTAATATATATATTTCGAGGGGTCTGGCATAGCTGCTTCCGGCATGTGGGAGCATCCTAGTAATATCATTGGCGGGAACATCCACATTAATGGGTATCCCCGTAGTATTTTTGATATTATTTTATAATTCCATGTTGTTTGAAGTGGAGCGTCTTATCCGCATGCTTTAGGCTGAGTCTCACCTAATCCCTACCTCTTCCTTCCCTCATCTCGCCTGTTTCCGTTTCTTCACTTGTGTCCTTGTTTACATTTGGGTCAGTTGTAATTCATAATCTAGTTTATGCAAATCCAGAGAGAAGGGAGGAGGGGGAGAGCGAAGGGCCTTTCGCCAGCACAGATACCAGTGCTACAAAAGTCAGGGTTTAAAGCTAAAACAACTGAAGAAAACTCTTCCGCACCCCGGTCGTCCCCTCCCCCGCCCCAGGAGCTTCACTTCCCTCCCCCGTTCGTTGCAGCGACTGAAGTCCCACTTCCCCATCGCTTGCCCCCTCCTTCCACCTCACCCAGGAGGCTGCCCTGGATTCGCGTATGTCTTCAGCTGCGGGAGTAGTTACTTCTCCAGTTTCTTTGACCAGGACATCTCATCCACTAGAATTGCTTTAGCTTAGAAAAAGAGCGTGGCACCACTGGTATTTAGCTCGGAAACCTTTAACCGCAAATTCACCTTTATATAAAAAGCTGAGAATAACAGCAGCCTCAATGCTGGTATCTGAAAATGAAAACTCTTCGAGAAAGTGTTAAGAAAATGAATAGATTTTTTTAGGTATGTGGATTGGTTGCAAGTGGTCGAGTTCATTGAAACTTGGTTATCTCAGGGGGTCGACCATTTCTTCTTCTATGTTTATGTCGTTTCACATAGTGTTTATAAAATTTTAGAGCATTATAGTAAAAAGGTGAGTTTTGGCCTTCATTACACTACATTTCAATTGACTGGCGATCTTGCTGCTATGGTAGATGGCGCTCATTGTCAGGCTAGAAGCGATAAATTGATTCTGCCTGTTCTGAAATTAGTCTTTCTACGTTTCGCGGATTCTTTACTATTACAAAGTGATGCTTGACCCATGTACTTCTGTCAGAAAACTTTGCCAGAAAACTTTGCCTTACCGTACTTTAGGAGTATACTCCACATACACACCAAGGATATCTCGAAACGGCTGCTTCTGCTGGAAGAACCATTAAGTTTGCTAATCACTCAAAGAAACAAATTCCAGCAGGCAGTGTAATAGCATTGATCTAAATAGTTAGAAAGTAACCAACTATACAAATGGGAAACTTACCTTAAAAGTAAACCCGTAACTTACTTTTTTACGTGCATTGGCGCTTAATCTTTACTGCATCACCAGCCGCCGCTCAGGCTGATATTGCTTCGTACTAATTAAGTTTAGCCGAACAAGTGCAGCATAGTGATCTTCAGGAAATGCTTGGAGCTACCAGCGCTGGTACCTAGCCGTGCTCAAAACTGCCCAATTTCTTGTTGTTACGATGAGGATCGGGGTTTTATGGGAATTGTTCTTGCCGGCGTTAAGATTTTTATGAGTTGTAACATTGAATTGTCAAGAAGGAGTGTTTACGTGACATTACTGTACGAAATATTCGAGTAGATCCTCTCAAATGAGTTTAATTTTTGAATAAATTCAGGGCTTTGTAACTATGATACCGTGGGGGCCATTTCCGTCAACGACCAAAACGGATCCGAACGAAGAAGTTTACAGGTGTGTGTATGCTTATTTGTGGCTTTCTTGTTTCATTACCTTATAACTAAAATATATTTGGTGTACTGATTACTGTAATTTAAACCACATCGTCAACTGCTAGCAAATGTTGATGGCATAAATGGATCTAGGACGGACTCATGGAAGAGAACGATGAGGGTTGGGAGAGAGTGGGGCTCCTGGGGTGAGAAGGGCGGGAGGATGAGGGTTTGGGGGCACGGGCCTGGGAGGATCCTTCCCGTCCTGGACTTGTGCAAAAAGTAGAAATAGAGAGTTATTTTAGGCTTTAGTTTACTTTAGTTTTAGCTTTAGACTCGGGCTTTGTAGCACTGGTGTCTGTGTCGCTGGGGAGAAGGGGGGGGGGGGGGGGGGGG